GGGTTGGGGGCTGTGCGGGGGGCTGTGCTTGGGTGTGGAGGCTGTAGAGAAGGGATAGCACAGAGTCTCCATCCGAGGTGGTGTCACCAGATGTGCAGAGGTGGTGCACGGGGTCGAGTTCACCCTGGTGACAATACCTGAGAGTAGCTGTGAGCTGGGCACATCAAGTCATTAGTTGCAGATGATAAACTTTAACCCAAGCTTTAAACCAATGACTAGGGGAGGTATAAATGGCGTCTCATCCCATTCTCTCTAACTCCTGGGGTCTCCATCCGAGGTGGTGTCACCAGATGTGCAGAGGTGGTGCACGGGGTCGAGTTCACCCTGGTGACAATACCTGAGAGTAGCTGTGAGCTGGGCACATCAAGTCATTAGTTGCAGATGATAAACTTTAACCCAAGCTTTAAACCAATGACTAGGGGAGGTATAAATGGCGTCTCATCCCATTCTCTCTAACTCCTGGGCACCTCTCCAGAGACCCCAGTGGCACTGCTCGGGATCTGGCCACAACCCTTGTCTGCCTTGGGTTTTGGGCCCTCGCCTACCTGTATCCCCTTGTGGGATGCTGCTTAGTATGGGGGGCAAATCTCACTGCAGCAGCATAAGTTATGAGAGTCCCGGGGATTTTTAAGCTCTAGCAGGAGCTGGGAGCCAGTACTGCTGGCTTCTATTCCTGTCACTGGGAGGGTTGTGGCATCTAATGGGTTAGAGCAGGACTGCTCAACTTTGGAAGCTCTGGGGGCCACAGTGATACAACACCTGCTGAGGGCCACAACTTAAGTGTGGTTGCATATATATGCAAATAGCTTCTTTCACAGTGACAAGAATGAATACAAAAATTAAGGAAAGATTACACAACACACAGGCCCAATTTAAGTCAGTTCTGCTGATATCAATAAAATGCAATATTTACCCAATGTCCACCCATATGACAGCACTTTTAATGAGCAATGACAGTTCAGGAATTTAACTACTAAAACGCATATCAACAGAAGACCATTATATTGACTACTTTTTTGATTCAGCTCCCTGCCACGTGTTGAGTTTAGCGTAAATGCAAACTGCACCGTGGGCCACAAACAAACAGGCTGTGGGCCACATGTGGCCCACAGGCCATGTATTGAGTAGCCCTGGGTTAGAGGATAGAGCATCCCAGTGCCATCCAGGCCCAAGGAACCTCTCAAGTAGTGGATGTGCCACATATCACGTCATTTCCTCCAGCTGTCCCACCTTGTCCTTTAGCAATCACCTCTCCTCATGGAGCTGTCCTGTAATACATCGTCTCCATCTCTTCCCTTTGCAGAGAGGTAGCAGGGTCCAGAACAGCACATCATGGAGTGCACAGCACTGGAGAGTCTCATCGAGATGGGCTTCCCCCACAATAGAGCGTATGTATGCCTGCCATTCCTTCTCCAGTCACCCACTGGCTGCCTTCGCTGCCCCTGCATCTTGACTTGGTCAGGGTACTCCCTGCTGGTGACTGGGGATCATGGTCTGTGGCTGTAGAACAGCAGAATGAAGTGATCTGGTGCAACATGGGAATGGTCTTTGAGGGGAAAGAAAAATCTAGTGTTGAAAGCTGGACTCCTGAATTCTATCCCCAGTGCTGAGAGGAGAGTGCGGTTTAGTGGGTTAGAGGATGGGGCTTTTTGCCTCAATTTCCCCATCAGCATAGCAGAGATAATGCCTCTCTCTCCTGCATTTCCTCCCACATCCTGATTTCTTCAGCCTAAACAAGAAATACTTATAACATGTTTCCCTGGGCCAGGGCTGCATACTGGTTGTGTCACATGTCAGAGACTCTGAGTAATGGTCTGTATTTTGTATTCCCTTGGTAAATCAAAGTAGGGGCTGGAGCCAGCTTGATGTTCTTTAACTTGCATTCATAACCCCCAACATCTTGGACACTAGCTCATGAACAGTACTGGGAGACCAGCCCGCAAGAGCCAAGAGCAGGGTCTGTCTGAAATCAAGACTGTTAGCTGTATCAAAGCAGGATGCAGTGGCCCAGCTGAATCAGATCCAGGGTCCTTATAGCCCTGTCTCCCAGGGTGCTTCAGAGGGTTTCTAGGTGCTGTGATAGTGTAAGGCCAGAAGGGATTATTAGATCATCTAGTCTGCCCTGCTGTGTAGCACAGGCTAGAGAATCTCTCTCTTACCTTTTCACTGAGCCTGGTTACTCACATTTGACTAAAGCATCTTCCAGAAGGGCAGCCAGCCTTGGCTGGAGATAGAGAATCCACCCCTGCCCTGGGCAGCTTGTTTCAACGGTTAATCACCCTCCCTAGGTGTGGAATGTGCCTGGTGCCAGCTTCCAGCCATTGGTTCTTGTTCTCCCTGTCTCTGTTTATATTAAAGAACCCTCCAGTGCCTGCTAGTTTCTCCTGCTACGTATTCACGAGTCAGGTCACTGTTGTTGTCTTTTTTGGTGAACTAAACAGGCTGAGCTCTATCAATCTCTCACCATCAGCATTTCATTCAGCCCTAGAATTGTTTTTGTGGCACCACTCCTCAGATTCTTCAATGACTCAACACCCAGTTTAAAATGTAGCACCCAGATCTCACCAAGGCCATAAGCAGAAGGGGGTAGGTCTTTCCAGGCACTTGGAGAGTCTGGAAGGGCCAGCGCTGTGAGAGAAGGGAGCTATTTGTGCCTCTCCACCCACAGGAGTAAGCAGCTGGGAGACAATATGCCAGCATTCTAGTCCTCCCAAAGCCTTCGCCAGTTATCCAGCCTAGCATGTGGCCCTTCTGTACTTCCTTCTGAGTCCCCTTTGCCTGGCATTACGCTGACAGCCATGGGCCCACCCTCTTTCAGCTTGGGGTAATGTTCTGTCAGTTAGCCGGAGTGGGAAGACAAACGTCCAGGCTGGAGGCCAAACTATGGTGTTGTGGGTCATCCTGGTGAGTTGCCTATCTGTGTCTGCTCTTTGAAGCATTTCACAGGGAGGATGCTGCTGTGCAGGAGGGGCAGCGATTCATCTGCAATTCCTGTGGGCTGGAACTCAGCCACGGTTGTCTGTTTCTTTCAGAGAGAAGGCGCTGGCGCTGACCGGGAACCAAGGCATCGAGCAGGCCATGGACTGGTGCGTTGGGGCCCTCTCCCCTAGATCTGTCTGCATTTTCTGCCCTTCCGCCTTTCCTTGCTGATGTTTCTCTCTCCCCCTCAAAAGGCTCATGGAGCACGAGAACGATCCAGACTTGGATGAGCCATACGTGGCTCCCCAGGGCCATGTCTTGGGCACAGAGGAGCCCCCTGAGGGAAGCACCCCTGAGACCATGGAAGCCACAGCAGGTTTGAACTGCCCTGGGGAGCTGCCTGGGCTAGTGGGGGAGGAGAGAAACTGCCCAGCCTGACTTGTGGGACATTCTAGGTTGGGCCATGACCCATGCACATCAGGGTCTTGCCTGCTTGGCTGTTCCTTTCTGGAGTGACCCCTTCTCGGCTCATTGCGATTCCACTGAGCTAGGGGGAAGGGTTTTGCCTGCAGGAGGGGCAGGTTGGGAGTCCTGTGGTAGTCTAGGCTCTCAGCCAGGGGTGTGGCATGTCTGTCCCCTCATTCCACGTCCATGTTCCTGGAGTGACGGGTTCTGAAGGATGCTGGTCCCACCTTGATGCCAGCTGCTTTGCCCATTGCCCATGTACCCCAATGTGGGGAACAAGGGGTGCTGGTTTGTGAGCAGAGGATAAGAGGCTTTTCTCTACAGATCTCATGGCGGAGGAAGGTGACAAGCACCCCCTGACTGAGGAGGAGAAGAGGGAACAGACCAAGCGGTAGGAAAGGCCCCCCCCCCCCTTTCCTGTCTGACAGGGAGAGATGTGTACCCTGGGGTGCCAGCTGCGTGGCATGATGGGAAGCATAGCTCTGAGAGCAAGGGGGCTTGATTCCTGTGGGTCCTGTGAGGAGGGGAGCATGGAAGGGGGTGCCCACTCCTGTCCCTCCGACAGAATGATGGAACTGATCGCACAGAAGCAGCGGGAGCGGGAGGAGCGGGAGAAGCGGGAGACCATTGAGCGGGAGAAGCAGCGGCGCAAGCAGGGCCAGGAGCTCTCCATGATCCGCCAGAAGCTGCAGGAGGACGAGATGAAGAAGATGGCAGAGGAGAGGCGCAGGGAGAAGATGGAGGAGAAGCTGGCCAAGTGAGATTTGGGGGAGAGTGGGATGGGGATGTGTGGGGAGCAAGGGAAGGCTGAGGGAGTGGGGGGCAATGAGATGGGATGTAGTGGGGGAAGGTGCAGAGTGGGGGAAGGTGAGGAGTGATGTGGACATGGAACCTACCCTTGCTGTGATGTTACAGCAGAAACACAGCTCCATGACATGCTGTGGGCCCATCCTTAATTGAGTCTGTTCTTGCAGGCAGCGGGTGCGTGAGAAGATTGAGCGGGACAAAGCAGAGCGAGCCAAGAAGGTAAGGAGCAGCAGTGGCTGGATGGGATCCATGCCCCCCATAATGGCACCTGCTACTGCCGTCCATTAGGCTAGGGGGTGGGGCAAAGAGGCTTGTGGGGGAAAGGTTGATGAAGGGGTGGAGTTCTGGAGGCTCCCAATCATTATGTGAGCTCCCTGCCTTGTGCCCCATATATGTGGAGGTAGATGGGAGATGCCTTGGGTGTGGCTTTCCCCTCAGGCTGCAGGGTATTGGTGTGGGAGGCTGTGAGAGCACTACGAAGCAGCTGGGAGCGGTCCTGGGGCAGCCTGGAGAAATCAGCTTGGGTTTGGAAGGGGAACCTACTTGTGTCTTAATGCCTGGCCCTCTCCATGCACCTTTCCCATCCAGTTTGGAGGTAGCAGCAGCTCTCAGGCCCCAGCTGAACCAGTGCAAGTGACGCTGGTGCCCTCATCACCCAGCCAGGAACCGCCCACAAAGAGAGAGTACGACCAATGTCGAATACAGGTAACCAGAGGGGCAGCTCCACAGACCCTTGTGCTTCGTCCACCTGTTCCCCGTACACCCCTTCCCCCACCCTTGCTGTGGGTTACTGGGAGGGTGCAGACAACAGGCTTTGCCAGGGGGCTTCCGCCTGGGGTCCCAGGTACTGTTCCCTGTAAGCTTTGCCCTTGTGCAGATGCTCAGGAGAGATTCTGATGCCACCCAGCTGATTAGCAGAGGACTCACAGCAAAGTTTTGTTTCTGCTGGGGGTGCACATTTGCACATGCCTTGGTGCACATAAAGTTATTCCATGCATGGATGGAAAAAATCCATAAATTGATGGAAAAGATTAGAGGGAGCATTGGTACCAGGCAGTCACTGGGATATTGGCCCTGATCTGGCTTTCTGCTGCTACTCGGGAGGAAGCCCCCCACTTTATGGAGTCACACCCGGGGTGCACCACAGTGAAACAGGGGCAGTTCTCCTGAGTGTGGAGGGACTATGCATCCCAGCATGCTGCCTTATGGTGCCATGGGATTTGGACCCAGCCCCTTTTGCCCTCCTGTCAGGTGAGGCTGCTGGACGGGACGTCGCTCACGCAAACGTTCAAGGCCAAGGAACAGCTGGCAGCTGTGCGGCAAGGATGGCCAGGAGCCCTTCCACCTCCTCACCAGCTTCCCTCGCCGCATCTTCACCGATGAGGACATGGAGAAGCCCTTGCAGGAGCTGGGTGAGCCTGGGGATGACAGGGGCAGGTGAAGTGACTGGCTTGAGGGCACAGATAGCAGCAGCGCTGGGGAACAGAACCAGAAGTCCGGGCTCCCAGTTGCCCTGCTCTGACCTGCTAGATCCAACTCTCCTCCCAGAGCTGGGGAACAGAACCCAGGAGTCCTGACTCCCAGCCCCTGCTACCGTAACCACTAAGCAACAGTGGTGAGTCCTTTGAGAACTGATCTTGGCACGAGACTCATGCCTGCAGGACCATCCAGCTCTTCCTTTGAGGCCCCCATGAGAGAGGGGAGGGTATAGAGCCTGCTTGTGGCTGGTGCTGGGGACAGGCGCTCAGGCTGCAATCAGAGAACCTACTGCAAGAGCCAGCCTTGTCTATGTTGCTGTCTTCCATTGGGCACGGTGGGCCATGGCCCTGTAGGATCTCTGCACAGAGATGCTGTGCCCATTCCTGGACCAGCCACTACAGGATGCTGGGGAAGATACAAACCACAGAGCCCCTAGGGCCCTTCCAGCTCAGACCCCTCCCTGCTGAAGTTGCTCTTGCTCCCAGGGATCAAACCTGTCCAGCCCCAGGGGTGAGTGTGTGCTCCCTCCACAGCCCATATGCACCCAGTTCCTAGTTTCAGCCTGTCTCCTGCCCCCACAGGTTTGGTGCCTTCGGCCGTTCTCATCGTGGCCAAGAAGTGTAACAGCTGAAGGACGCCCTGGCTCATGCGTGCTGTGACCGGAGCTCCCTCCCCACCCCGGCCCTCAATTCCTATGCTTCCCTCTGCCTCCCTCACAATGTGGTTTTGCCCCTCCCCCTGCCCGTCTGAGCCCAGAGAAGTGACTGACCATTTTGCTTCCTCAGGACTGGATCCCAGCAGAACAGCTGGTGGGGGGGGATGAGGGGCATGTGTCCACCCCCTGGGGGTGTGCCACAGTGCGAGCCGCAGCACTAGGGACACTAATAAACATCATCTGTTCTGCTGCTGCCACCCATTATTCCCCCATGCTGCTACTGGTGGGAAGGAGGCCCCAGCTTAGCTGGAGTGGGCAGCCAGCAGGCTGGACACTGGAACAGAATCCTGCCCCCAGCCAAGAAAGGGCCCCACCATAGATTCATAATCCAAACTTCATAGGTTTGTTGGGACAGAAGCCTTCTCTGGGCAGTATCTGGCACAAGTAGTGGAGACAGGCCCCCATCATCGCAGGAGATGCCCCCCCAGCCAAGCGTGGGGTCTGTCATGGTTGAGGCTGGGAGGGCACACGAGCAGGCAGAGGGGAAAGGCCTGGCTGTGTCCATGTGGGGGAGATGATCTGCCCTAGGCAACCTGTGGGGAGAGACAGTGCTCTCTCTACCCCTGCAATGTGAGCTTATCCTATCCCAGGTGCTCAATGGAGGCATTATGGGGAAGGGTTGGTGCACAGAGAAGTCAGAGCCCTGCCAGGCTCTGTAGCAGATGCACTTCCCTTGCTCCTAGGGGGATAGGTAGTGCAGGATGGGGGGGGGGAGGGACTTGCTGGTGAGATGTGACACCCATTTCTGGCCATTGGTCAGTAAAGTGTCCCTGTAGGCCTGGGGCACAGTGCTGTGTGGGTGAGGAAATGGAAAACAGCTTGAGCTAGGAAGATCCAGTCCCCCTGAGCCTGAGAAAATGAGGCTGTATCTACATTGGCATGATTTTGCGCAAAAGCATGCTGCCTGTCTACACTGGCGGGGAGTTCTTGCACAAGAACACTGACGTTCTAATGTGTGAAATCAGTGCTTCTTGCGCAAGAACTATGATGCTTCTGCTCAGGAATAAGCCCTCTTGCGCAAGAGGCCAGTGTAGACAGGCAACATGAAGTTCTTACGCAAGAAAGCCCAATGGCTAAAATGGCCATCGGAGCTTTCTTGAGCAAGAGAGTATCTACACCGGCACGGATGCTCTTGCGCAAAAGCACATCTCTTGCGCAAATACTTTAACGCAAGAACTCTTGCCTTAAAGAGTATTTGCTCAAGATCATGCCGATGTAGACATAGCCTGAGAGTTTGGGTTCCAGTACGGAATTAGGGTTCCAGAGGGAGCCAAACTGATGGTGATACCCCTGCACAGGGCTTTGGCCCACTGGCCTGACCTTGGAATGGGGTTTCAAAGCTGCCTTTGAAGATAAGTTAATAGAGGGCAAGTTAGAAAGGGCCTGTGTCCCAGGGCTCTCCCTAAGCAACTGGGCCTGGGAAGCCCATTCCAGGGCTCCCTGCTGGAGCAGCAGCCCCTGGGGCACTGTGGTCCTGGGGCTCCTGCCTGCCGTGTTTGGGCAGCTTGCATTATTGGGGCCCTATTGGAGCAGATTTTCCTGCAGGTGGGCTGGGACTGTAATCCAAACCCTATGCAAGGGGAATGATGGTGCCAGACTCTTCCTCCCCCATCTCCTAGGCACTTAAGGGAGGGGGAAGTAGCCCAGTTCTTGCTGTGGGTACTGGATGGAGTTTACAATCAGAGCAGTAGTTTGGACAGAGCCTTAATCTCCACATCCCTTCTTCCCTCCCCAGTTTGCTGGCTCATTACCACTGCCTGAAATGATGTGCTGAGTCAGCTGTAAATCCAAGCAGGCCCTTTGCTCTAAGCACTAAGTGCTGCATCCTCACAGCACTGGGGGGGCAGAATTTAACCCTCTGTCCATTATCTTTATCACCTTTCCAGCAGCTGCTGAATCACAAACTCCTCCAGTGCAGATGAGGAGGAAAAGTTCACTCAACCCTGGTCTGGGTCCAGCATCTGTTTGGATTAGTAACAGGCCACTGGGCTTAGCTGGGCTGACCTGGCTGCAGGCCCTGAAGCCTCCCGAAATTCATCCCTGTCAAAGGTAGAGGGAATGTGAGAGAGGTGTCCCATCAAATTGAAAGGGGGAAATATCTACTTTGTATCATCTGCAGGCTGAGTTCCTCCCAAAATCTGCCTGGCTGCCATCCTCCAAAATGCCCCCAGCAAAGGGAAATTCTAGGACTCCCCTTCACAATTCTCACACCACGGTCGTCCCCGTCCCCCCCAATTTTCCCTCCTCTACCAATAGTTCTGTGTGCCCCCATTATTTCATTCCAGGTGTCAACATTACACTGCTGGAGGAGCAGAGATGGGGTATGTGACTGGTGGGGTTGCAGAAATCCCTTTGGGGTTGTCTGCCAGAGTGCTAAGCAAGCCAGTGCTACCTGCCCTCCTGTCCACTGGGGCTCCCCACCACCATGTCATGCTGAGCCAGCAGCTCTGGTCTCCCCCAGCCAAGATATAGAGTTGGGGTCACTGCCCCCCTGCAGAGCAACACAGACACTGAAGCAGCTCAGGTCTGGGAGGACTCCACTATGAGGCTGCTGATAGCACCAAGGAAACCAAACCCCAAAAGGGACCAAAACTCCAAATAGATCCATTTAACCTGTGTAACAGTTTTACATTGAGCAAGCTCAAAGAGGTTTGCCCCCTTTATCAATGAAAGAGAGAGATGCACAGTAGTTACTTTCCCTCCCCCCCAGTTACAATTATTTATACTGGGCTTGATAATAAAGAAGTGTTTTTATTAAATATAAGATGTAGGATTTAAATGATTGCAAGTGAAAACAAAGTTCAAAGTAAGTTACTAAATTAAAATAAGACACCAGTTAATTCTAATATACCTAAGGCCTTATCTACCCAAATCCCACACCCATCAATCTAATGTACACAACTTCAGCTACACAAAAAGCTTAACTGAAGTCGATGTACTTATCATGGTGTCTTCTGTGCAGTAAGGTCAGCAGGGGCTGCTCTCCTGGCTACTCTTCTTGTTCTGGTGGAGTATGGGAATCAATAGCAGAGCATTTGGTGATCAATTTGTTAAATCTAAGCCGATTAGATAGACAGACTGCTAGTGGATTGATCGCTGTAGTGAAGACAAGCTGCAAGAAACTTGCCACTTGAAAATTCTTACCCTCAACAGCTATTCTTATCTGAGGTAAAATGTTTCAAGGGTTGATCTTTACTCTGCCTTGGGTCTACAGCTTTTCAGAGTTCTTTAGAACATTTTGTTTTCAGGATTATTCATATGTATTCTTCCAGGGTGGATGGGGCAGCTTTAAAGGCCAGGTGAAGACAAAGATCTGATTGCTTTCCCCCAGTGCAGGAATCCTTAAAATAGGAATCTTTTGTTCAGTCTCCCCAGGAAAAATACATGATTCAAGATGGATTCTAATACCAGGTGTCATGTTCACATTTTTCTAGGACCAAACACAGTTTGGGATTATAGGAAAAATACAAAGAGGAGTCTGGTGGCACCTCAGGCTACATCTAGACTACATGGCTCTGTCAACAGAGCCATGTAAAATAGTTTATTCGGCATAGTCAAAGAAGCGGGGATTTAAATAATCCCTGCTTCATTAAAATAAAGATGGCTGCTGTGCTGTGCCGATGATCAGCTGATCCAGCACAGCGCTGCAGTCTAGACGCGGCGCAGTCAACAAAGAAAGCCTTTGTCAACTGCTCTGGTAAACCTCGTTTCATGAGGCTTCCTTTGTCAACCACACAGTGTCTAGACTGCCGTGCTGTGCCAGATCAGCTGATCGTTGGTGCAGTGGCCATTTTTATTTTAATGAAGCAGGGATTATTTACATCCCCACTTCTTTGACTATGCCAAATAAACTATTTTACATGGCTATGTCGACGAAGCTATGTAGTCTAGACATAGCCTTAGAGACTAACACATTTATTAGTCTTTTGTGAGTAAAACCAGTTTCATCAGACGACGTGGAGTGGATGTTTTAAAGAATTTCCAAACCCAAATTCAAAGGGACACAGCTGAACTGGAGTTCATTTGCCAATTCAGTACAAGCAATTTAGGACTGAATAAGGCTCTGAATTAGTTAACATGCTACAAAAGGTAATTTCCCCTCTCTTGATATTCACATTTCCACACCAAATGCTGTGAATGAGTCACTTTCACCCTGATTTGATTAGCCTATACCTCTGCTTCTGTAACTTCCACTCCATCAGATGAAGTGGGTTTTACCTACAAAAGTTTATGCTCTAATAAATCTGTTAGCCTGTATCTACACTAGGACATAAGATCAAATTTATTAAGGTCAATTTCTTGCCATCTGATTTTGCAAAGTCAAAGGTCCATGTCCCCACTGGGAGCAAGAATTCAATGTAGTTCAAAATAGCGTGTCCCCACCAGGGAGACAGTCGTTTACTTTGAGAGTGATGCATTGTGGGTAGCTACCCCACAATGCCTGTGATGCTTTGCATTCTGGGTTATGCTCCCAGTGAACATTGGGGCCAAAATTGTGCAGTGGGTGTTTCTGGGTTCATGTCATCAGCATCCCATAATGCACTCATCTATTTGCTTGAGATCAATAGGAAACAGTCTTTTCGCACCCTTTTTGGCCTTGGACACCCAAACATGCCACAGCAGCATGAGCATGGCCTCTTGAGGATCCCATTGTGTACCAAAGCACTGTGATGTTCATGTGTACCTTGGTGTGCCTAATGATACAGTATGTCAAGAGTGTATGCACGACACTCCACCAGGAAGAGGATGAGGAAGAATCTTGGTCTTGGGGTGCCACAGGCCCACTGTACAGGCAACCCCTTGTGTGGAGAAAATTGGACATGCAGTCAGCATTTGATCCTCTGGAAACAGTGGAACGCTGGTTCTGGTGCCATGAGACAAGCACAGGCTGGTAGGACCTCATAGTACTACAGGTATGGGATGATCAGCAGTGGCTGTAAAACTTCCAAATGTGCAACTGCACTTTCATAGAACTTTGCAAATGGCTTTCCCCCATCCTGAAGCATAGGGACACCTGAATGAGACTCTCTCTGGCAGTGGAGAAGTGTGTGGCAATTGCCCTGTGGAAGCTTGCAACACCAAACAGCTATTAGTCAGGAATCAATTTGAAGTGGGGAAATCTACACTGGGGGCTGTGCTGCAGTAATGCCATATCACTTACTGCTGCTGTGGGAAGGTGTCCTACTGTGGAGGACAGAATAAGGCTGTGAGAAGCACCAAAGAGTTCCTCTCTGCATATCCTCATGGAGGATTCCTGCTCCATCTCTACGTGCCTCAACAAGGTGTTCCAGGCCACACCACATGGTGTAGGCACAGAATACAACACACATCGTACTCAACTGCCTTAATCTAGGCTTATTTGTTAATCTTGTTGACTATACCTCTGTATCGAAGACAGCAAGGATGGTGGTGGGGGAACAGGAGCCAATGACTGTGAGGAACTGGCTTAAAAACTAGCTCCCCACTAGGTCTGCCTCCTAGCACTAGGTCTGCCTCCCCCCACTCACTGCTCTGTCTGATAGACAAGCAGCAATGGTGAAGGGGATAGGCTGGAGCTGATACGTGCAGGAAGCTGGCTTTCAAGCAAGCTCCCCACACATATCTAGTCACACGGACCTTCCTGCCTTCCCTTGCTGCCTTTTACAGAGGCACGGGGTGGGCAGGCAGTAGTTAGTGCTGGAGAGAGCCATCTTAAAGGGCGGTTCCCCCCCAGCATCAGCTCCAGCTTTCTGCCCCCTTCCACGCTGCTGCCTCTATCACAGGCAGCAGCACAGGCGGGGATGG